TCTTCGGTAATTCACTTCAGAGTTTTGGACTTCGGCAGTTTGGAGCTGTTCTTTGGTAAATCACTTCGGCGTTTTGGAGCTGTTCTTTGGTAAACCAACTTGGTGGTTTGGTAATTCTGTTTGGCGTTTTGGAGCTGTTATCTGGTAGGTTTCTTGAGCTGTTTGGTAATTCACTTTGGTGTTTTGTAGCTGTTCTTTGGTAATTCTCTTCGCTTTGGTTTTTCCTAAAGAGCCTACTATTAATTCAGCTTTGCTTCTAATAAATCAAATAGCTTCTTCTGCGTCTTAGAGCTGTTTTTTGGTAATTCACTTCGGTGTTTTGGAGCTATTCTTCGATAATTCACTTTGGAGTTTTGGTGCTGTTCTTCGACAATTCACTTCGGCAATTTGGAGCTTTCTTTGGTAACCACCTTGGTGATTTGGAATTGTTCTTTGGTAATTCTGTTTGGCGTTTTGGAGCTGTTTTCTGGTTGGTTTCTTGGGATTCTTTGGTAATTCACTTCGGCATTTTGGGGCTGTTCTTCAATAATTCACTTTGGCAATTTGGAGCTGTTCTTTAGTAATTCTCTTTTGGGTTGGAGCTGTTCTTTTGTAATTATTTTTTGGGGTTTCAGAGTTGTTCTTTTGTAATTAATTATTTTCGGGATTTTGGAGTTGTTCTTTGGTAGTTTTTTTTATTGCAATAAAAATAAATTATTTAAATACCAATACTGAGTGTAAATTTTGACATCGAATATTGAGTGTATTATGTGATACAGTATATGTACGTACGTAGTTAGCTAGACAAGATAGTTCTGGTTTTTCCACAAATACCTGACCAACTTCAATGAAGATTTTTTATTGAATTCTATGAATTCATAGAATTCAAATAAAAAAATTTTCATCGAACTTGGTCAGGTGGTTACAGAGATACCTTCACTAAAAGTTAGAAAAAAGTATCAATATAGAAGCTATGCCGATTTCTGTAAAAAATTTGAGCAAAGATATCTCCGTAACCACCTGACCAATTCGATGAAAATTTTTTTATTTGAATTTTATAAATCTACAGAATTCAAATAAAAAATTTTCTTCAAACATGGTCAGGTGGTTACGAAGATACCTTTGCTAAAAGTTAGAAAAAAGTATCAAAATAGAAGCTATGCCGATTTCTGTAAAAAAGTTAAGTGAAGATATCTCTACAACCACTTGATCAAATTCGCTGAAAATTTTTTTATTTGAATTCTATGAATCCATAGAATTCAAATAAAAAAATTTTCAGCGAATTTGATCAAGTGGTTGTGGGGATACCTTCGCTCAAAGTTTTAAAAAAAAATTGGGCGCAGCTTCTATTTTGATAGGCGTTTTGACTTTACTCAAACTTTGAGCGAAGGTATCCCCACAACCACTTGATCAAATTCGCTGAAAATTTTTTGATTTGAATTCTATGAATCCATAGAATTCAAATAAAAAAATTTCAGCGAATTTAATCAAGTGGTTGTGGGGATACCTTCGCTCAAAGTTTTTAAAAAAAATTGGACGCAGCTTCTATTTTGATAGGCGTTTTGACTTTACTCAAACTTTGAGCGAAGGTATCCCCACAACCACTTGATTAAATTCGCCGAAAATTTTTTTATTTGAATTCTATGAATCCATAGAATTCAAATAAAAAATTTTTTAGCGAATTTGGTCAAGTGGTTGTGGGGATACCTTCGCTCAAAGTTTTTAA